CTCTCTGGCCTGATTGCACTCTGTGCACTCTCTCTCTGGCCTGATTGCACTCTGTGCACTCTCTCTGGCCTGATTGCACTCTGTGCACTTCTCTCTCTTGGCCTGATTGCACTCTGTGCACTCTCTCTGGCCTGATTGCACTCTGTGCACTCTCTCTCTGACCTGATTGCACTCTGTGCACTCTCTCTCTGGCCTGATTGCACTCTGTGCACTCTCTCTCTGGCCTGATTGCACTCTGTGCACTCTCTCTCTCTGACCTGATTGCACTCTGTGCACTCTCTCTTTCTGGCCTGATTGCACTCTGTGCACTCTCTCTCTGGCCTGATTGCACTCTGTGCACTCTCTCTCTGACCTTATTGCACTCTGTGCACTCTCTCTCTGGCCTGATTGCACTCTCTGCACTCTCTCTCTGGCCTGATTGCACTCTGTGCACTCTCTCTGGCCTGATTGCACTCTGTGCACTCTCTCTCTGACCTGATTGCACTCTGTGCACTCTCTCTGGCCTGATTGCACTCTGTGCACTCCTCTCTCTCTCTGACCTGATTGCACTCTGTGCACTCTCTCTCTGGCCTGATTGCACTCTGTGCACTCTCTCTCTCTCTCTGGCCTGATTGCACTCTGTGCACTCTCTCTGGCCTGATTGCACTCTGTGCACTCTCTCTCTAAGCCTGATTACACTCTGTGCACTCTCTCTGGCCTGATTGCACTCTGTGCACTCTCTCCGGCCTAATTGCACTCTGTGCACTCTCTCTGGCCTGATTGCATTCTGTGCACTCTCTCTCTGGCCTGATTGCACTCTCCACTCTCTGGCCTGATTGCACTCTGCACTCTCTGACTTGATTGCACTCTGTGCACTCTCTCTCTGGCCTGATTGCACTCTGTGCACTCTCTCTCTCTGGCCTGATTGCACTCTGTGCACTCTCTGGCCTGATTGCACTCTGTGCACTGTCTCTCTGGCCTGATTACACTCTGTGCACTCTCTCTGGCCTGATTTCACTCTGTGCACTCTCTCTCTGGCCTGATTGCACTCTGTGCACTCTATGGCCTAATTGCACTCTGTGCACTCTCTCTCAAGCCTGATTGCACTCTGTGCACTCTCTCTTTGGCCTGATAGCACTCTGTGCACTCTCTCTCTGGCCTGATTGCACTCAGTGCACTCTCTCTCTGGCCTGATTGCACTCTGTGCATTCTCTCTCTGGCCTGATTGCACTCTGTGCACTCTCTGGCCTGATTGCACTCTGTACACTCTCTCTCTGGCTTGATTGCACTCTGTGCACTCTCTCTCTCTGGCCTGATTGCACTCTGTGCACTCTCTGACCTGATTGCACTCTGTGCACTCTCTCTCTGGCCTGATTGCACTCTGTGCACTCTCTGACCTGATTGCACTCTGTGCACTCTCTCTCTGGCCTGATTGCACTCTGTGCACTCTCTGGCCTGATTGCACTCTGTGCACTCTCTCTCTGGCCTGATTGCACTCTGTGCACTCTCTCTCTGGCCTGATTGCACTCTCTGGCCTGATTGCACTCTGTGCACTCTCTCTCTCTCTGGCCTGATTGCACTCTGTGCACTCTCTCTCTGGCCTGATTGCACTCTGTGCACTCTCTGGCCTGATTACACTCTGTGCACTCTCTCTGGCCTGATTACACTCTGTGCACTCTCTCTGGCCTGATTGCACTTTGTGCACTCTCTCTCTGGCCTGATTGCACTCTGTGCACTCTCTCTCTGGCCTGATTGCACTCTGTGCACTCTCTCTCTCTCTCTGGCCTGATTGCACTCTGTGCACTCTCTCTCTCTGGCCTGATTGCACTGTGCACTCTCTCTCTGGCCTGATTGCACTCTGTTCACTCTCTCTGGCCTGATTGTACTCTGTGCAATCTCTGGCTTGATTGCACTCTCTCTCTGGCCTGATTTCACTCTGTGCACTCTCTGGCCTGACTGCACTCTGTGCACTCTCTCTCTGGCCTGATTGCACTGTGCACTCTCTCTCTGGCCTGATTGCACTCTGTGCACTCTCTCTGGCCTGATTGTACTCTGTGCAATCTCTGACTTGATTGCACTCTCTCTCTGGCCTGATTTCACTCTGTGCACTCTCTGGCCTGACTGCACTCTGTGCACTCTCTCTGGCAAGATTGCACTCTGTGCACTCTCTCTCTGGCCTGCTTACACTCTGTGCACTCTCTGATCTGCTTGCGCTCTGTGCACTCTTTCTCTGGCCTGCTTGCACTCTGTACACTCTCTCTCTGGCCTGCTTTCTCTCTTTGCAATCTGTCTCTCTGGCCTGCTTGCACTCCGTGCACTCTCTGGCCTGCTTGCACTCTGTGCACTCTATCTGGCCTGCCTGCACTCAGTGCACTCTCCGGCCTGTCTGCACTCTGTTCACTCTGTCTCTCGCCTGCTTGCACTCTGTGCACTCTCTCTGTTTTACTTTCACCCTGTGCACTTTCTCTGGCCTGCTTGCTCTCTATGCACTCACTGGCCTGCAAGCACTCTGTGCACTCTCTCTGGCCTACTTGCACTCCGTGCACTCACTTTGGCCTCTGTGCATTCTATGCACTCTCGTCTGCCTGCGCTCTGTGCACTCTGGCCTCCCTGCACTTTGTGCACTCTCACTGTGCTCCCTGCACTCTGTGCACTCTCACTGTGCTCCCTGCACTGTGTGCATTCTCTCTGACCTCTGCGCAGTCTCTCTGGCCTCTGTGCACTCTACATGGCCTCCCTACACTCTCTCTGGCCTCCCTGCACTCTTTCTGGCATCCCTGCACACTCTATGGCCTTCCTGCACTCTCTCAGGCCTCCTTGCACTATCTCTAGTCTTCCTGCACTCTCTCTGGCCTCACTGCACTCTCTTTGGCCTCTCTGCACTCTCTCTAGCCAACCTGCACTCTCTCTAGCCTCTGCACTCTCTCTGCCTCCCTGCACTCTCTCCTCCCTGCACTCCCTGCACTCCTCTCCTTCTGCCTCCCTGCACTCTTCTGCCTCCCTGGCCTTCTCGCCTCTGCACTCTCTCTGGCCTCCCTGCACTCTCTCTGGCCTCCCTGCACTCTCTCTGGCCTCCCTGCACTCTCTCTGGCCTCCCTGCACTCTCTCTGGCCTCCCTGCACTCTCTCTGGCCTCCCTGTCTCCCCCACTCTCTCTGGCCTCCCTTCACCCTCTCTCACTCTCTGCTCCCTCACTCTCTCTTGCCTCCCTGCACTCTCTCTGGCCTCCCTGCACTCTCTTCCTCCCCTCCTTCCCCTTCACCTCTCTGCCTCCCTGCACTTCTGGCCTCCCTGCACCTCTCTCTGACCTCCCTGCACTCTCTTCTGGCCTCCCTGCACTCTCTCTGGCCTCCCTGCTCTTCTCTGCCTCCCTGCACTTCTCTTGCTGGCTCCTCCCTCACTTCTGCCTCCCTCCTCTCTCCTCATCCCTTGTCTATCCTGCTCCTGCACTCTTCTCCTCCTCCTGCACTCTCTCTGCCTCCCTGCACTCCTCTGTCATCCCTCTTCCTAGCCTCTTTCCACTCTCTTAGCTCCTCACTCTGTACCCTCACTCTTTGCTCCTGCTACTCTTCCACTTATGCCTCTCTTGCTCCTTCATTTTGCTCCTGCACTCTCCCTCTATCCTCTGCCGTCATCCCTGCTCACACTCCTCTTCGCTAGATCATTCACTCTCTGCACCCTCACTCCTTAGCCTCCCTCATCCTGTTCATCCCTTCCTCTCTTCGTCCTTTATTCTAGCTCCTCCACTCTCTTCAGATCCATCCCTCACTCTCTCTCCCGCATCTCCTGGCTCACCTGCACTCTTCTCCAGCATCATTCATCAGTCCTGCACCTCTTGCTCTTTCCTGATCCGGATCGCATTTCACCTTCCTCTTCAGTGCATCTCAGTCCTCACCTCTACTCTTCCAGATCATCCATATCCCCACTCTCTCAGACCTCTCACTCCTCTTCCAGGATCATTCATGTCCTCACACTCCTCTTCCAGGATCATCCAAGTGTTCACCTTCCTCTTCCAGGATCATTCATGTCCTCACACTCTTCTTCCAGGATTATCCATATCCTCACACTCCTCTTCCAGGATCATCCCAGTGCTCACACTCCTCTTCCAGGATCATCCATATCCTCACACTCCTCTTCCAGGATCATCCCAGTGCTCACACTCCTCTTCCAGGATCATTCATGTCCTCACACTCCTCTTCCAGGATCATTCATGTCCTCACACTCCTCTTCCAGGATCATCCAAGCGCTCACACTCTTTTTCCCAGATTTACCGCAGCTTCGCACACATTCAGGTCAAACTCGAACAGCCATTTCTTCGACTAGTCTTAGAGCTCAAGTTTCAAGTCTTCTTAGAGCGTGACCTCTGTTCCTCAGCTTACATCCTAGGTGCTCTATTACACCTGTGGTTCATACAGCACCTAGCAAGACAATAACATATATAATATTGCATAGTCTTCTACATATTAAGAAATGGCATTAATATATATATATTATATATATATATATATATATATATATATATATATATATATATATATTATATATATATATATATATATATATATATATATATGCAATAAGATCAGAGTAAACAGGTCATCACAATATATACAACACCTAACTCGTCCCTTTATGATGATGCGGGTGAGATGGTCAAGGACCTGTTAGACTCAGCTTATATTCTATCCAAATTTTATGATTTTAACTTGTCGAATATATCAAATTCTTCCCAAATTTTATTAATTATAAATGAATCTAATTTGTGTTATCCTACAGCAATGTTCATATTAACTTCGTAATTAACAAGATAGGAAACTTCATAAATCATCTACTGGAACTTTTGTAAACAAGGAAGTAACGTGAAAAGTAATAATTTATATCAGTCATGGTGCTTAATTTATCAACTTTATTGGGTTTAATATTACAGTTAGAAATTTTACTCGCGTAAAATAATATATGATTTACAAGGAATCCGTCTTGAAAAAAGAAGCTTTGTTATAGTTACGTTGTCGTGTTGCACAGATCGTAGTTGGGTGGATAGTGACGTGTTGCGTCACCACGTCGTGGGTAGGTGCTACCCACCTCATTAAGGACATGTTCCTTCGTGAGGTGTCGGTCTCAGGAACACCTGCTCCAGCCTACCCCAACACTACACTGCCTGTCACGCCTGTCGTCCAGGTGAGTCCTGCTTTAATGAGTCTTCTCCAGGTGTGCAGGTGAGAGCATACCTGTGTCAGCACCTGCTGCATAACACTCTTAAGTCCTCTCTCATTATCTTGAGTTAGGTCTTAGTGTTGTCAGCTACGTGGTTCACTGTTGCATTGATGGGCCTGATGCATGTCTGGCCCACTGTTCGAATCTCTCTCTGATACTACTACTACTATTAATAATAATATAATAATAATAATAATAATAATAATAATAATAATAATAATCTTTCATTAGTTGTGGTTTTCTATCATCCGTTGCTCTCCTGCTGTCCTCCCGTTGCGTCTTCCCGTTGCTGTGTCCTCTGTTGTCTGAAGTGTTTGTCGTTATCTCCATCAGGTGAAGGTGTTCGACGCAGCGTTCTTCACGACGTGGTTCTGCACGACGTGGACCAGTCTCTTCTTTCCTCTCTACATGGTGTGTCATTCTTGTCTGAGGCGAGACAAGTCCTCCCTCAAACACACACTCAAGACTCTCGCTCAGAACTTCAGAGATCGTGGAGTCACCTTTGGTAAGTCTTCCTCTTTGTCCTCCTTCTCCTCCTCCTCCTCCTTCTCCTCCTCCTCTTCCTCCTCCTCCTCCTCCTCCTCCTCCTCCTCATCCTCCTCCTCATCCTGCTCCTCCTTATGTTGCTGCTCCTCCCCCTCCTCCTCTTCCTCTTCTTCTATTTCTTCACCTTTCTGCTTTTTTCCCCCTTCTGCACCTTCTTTTCCTCTTCCCTTTTCATTCTGCTCTTCCTCATCTTCCTCCTTCCTTGTTCTTCTCTTTCTTATGCTCCTCCTCCTCTTTCATCTTCCTTACCATAGCGTTACCCACTTACACCATCTATTCTCACGGCTGATCACCATCTGCCACAAACATTACCAAGTATGTCAGTGTTATTGTCAGAGATCATCAACATTATTTCAAAAATATCCAGCAAATTAATATACTTTGTGTTTATCCGAGGTGCCTGTAGAGACTTCGGTGATTTTTTTAGAACAGTGTTTGACTATTTCTAGTTTAATTATTTCTTTTGGGGGTTTACATGGAAGTCATTTTTATGATTACCAGGGTACCTGTAGGGACCTCGGGGAAATTTTTAAGAGAGATTTTTAATACAGAAAGTTTACTGCTTTTATTTTAACTGATACGAGTGTTTTTAGTATCTGCGAGAACGCTGGTAGAAACCTGGCCTCAGCAGCCACAAGTGAGTACAAACATCTTATTCTAGACCAGCAGAGGATGTGAACCTGTGTTACCAACACTCCATGCAGTGCCAAACACAGCATGCAGTGCCAAACGCAGCATGCAGTGCCAAACACAGCATGCAGTGCCGGACAAAACATGCAATGCCAAACACAACATGCAGTGCCAAACACAACATGCATTGTTGATGAAGCTACACAGTGGCTTCATCAGTCCAATACAAAGCAAAAAGGTGTAAGGAGAGGAGTTTGAGGTAATTAGTCCCTCAGCCAGGAGTCGATGTGTTCAGTCCATCAATCTTGTAGAAAGTGCAGCATAGGGCCGTAGACGTGGCTTATATACTGTAGTGAGGTGAGGCGAAGCAGGAGGAGGCGGGGTCATAGCGGTACCATCCACTAGTCGAAGTAGATCTTCGTCCAGAGGTTGGACAAGTGTTGAAGAATTCTTTGTATCAAGATACCATGATGTTGTAGTGTCTGACAGTTGTGATGATGAAGATAAGTGTCTCAATCTTCAACTTGTCGGTTTTTCAAACCATTCATCACACGGCCCAGTCATGGTAAAATTCTTAGCACTCAGAAAGAGTGCACTAGCGAGTACATTAGACAACAATACCTTGTTCATTCACTCTGCCTTAACACGTACCAGTGTAACGATCCTTTAGGCCTCAGAATTTACGATTTTTCTGACTATTTCCTGCTTACCACTGATATTTAAATATTGTGACTTAAAACTCATTATTTTATTGTCAGAATAACAGATCTCATGAGATCTTATTGTACACTTGGTATGGTTTTTTGTAATATATGAAATATTAAAAAAAAAAATGAAAAAATGTGCTTATTTGAGTCTGGAAGCTGAGTTCAACATAACTGCACGAGTCCAACATAGCTGCATGAGTCCAACATAGCTGCATGAGTCCAACATAGCTGCATGAGTCCAACATAGCTGCATGAGTCCAACATAGCTGCATGAGTCCAACATAGCTGCAGAGTCCAACATAGCTGCATGAGTCCAACATAGCTGCATGAGTCCAACATAGCTGCATGAGTCCAACATAGCTGCACGAGTCCAACATAGCTGCACGAGTCCAACATAGCTGCATGAGTCCAACATAGCTGCATGAGTCCAACATAGCTGCATGAGTCCAACATAGCTGCATGAGTCCAACATAGCTGCATGAGTCCAACATAGCTGCATGAGTCCAACATAGCTGCATGAGTCCAACATAGCTGCACGAGTCCAACATAGCTGCACGAGTCCAACATAGCTGCATGAGTCCAACATAGCTGCACGAGTCCAACATAGCTGCATGAGTCCAACATAGCTGCACGAGTCCAACATAGCTGCACGAGTCCAACATAGCTGCACGAGTCCAACATAGCTGCATGAGTCCAACATAGCTGCATGAGTCCAACATAGCTGCACGAGTCCAACATAGCTGCATGAGTCCAACATAGCTGCATGAGTCCAACATAGCTGCACGAGTCCAACATAGCTGCATGAGTCCAACATAGCTGCACGAGTCCAACATAGCTCCATGAGTCCAACATAGCTACACGAGTCCAACATAGCTGCACGAGTCCAACATAGCTGCACGAGTCCAACATAGCTACACGAGTCCAACATAGCTGCACGAGTCCAACACAGCTGCACGAGTCCAATATAGCTACACGAGTCCAACATAGCTGCATGAGTCCAACATAGCAGCATGAGTCAACATAGCTGCATGAGTCCAACATATCTGCATGAGTCCAACATAGCTGCACGAGTCCAACATAGCTGAATGAGTCCAACATAGCTGCATGAGTCCAACATAGCTGCATGAGTCCAACATAGCTGCATGAGTCCAACATAGCTGCATGAGTCCAACATAGTTGCATGAGTCCAACATAGCTGCATGAGTCCAACGTAGCTGCATGAGTCCAACATAGCTGCATGAGTCCAACATAGCTGCATGAGTCCAACATAGCAGCATGAGTCCAACATAGCTGCATGAGTCCAACATAGCTGTATGAGTCCAACATAGCTACATGAAACTAACATAGCTGCATGAGTCCAACATAGCTGCATGAGTCTAACATAGCTGCATGAGTCCAACATAGCTGTATGAGTCCAACATAGCTACATGAAACTAACATAGCTGCATGAGTCCAACATAGCTGCATGAGTCTAACATAGCTGCATGAGTCCAACATAGCTGTATGAGTCCAACATAGCTACATGAAACTAACATAGCTGCATGAGTCCAACATAGCTGCATGAGTCTAACATAGCTACATGAGTCCAACATAGCTACATGAGTCTAACATAGCTTCATGAGTCCAACATAGCTGCATGAGTCCAACATAGCTGCATGAGTCCAACATAGCTGCATGAGTCCAACATAGCTGCATGAGTTCAACATAGCTGCATGAGTCCAACATAGCTCCATGAGTCCAAAATAGCTGCATGAGTTCAACATAGCTGCATGAGTCCAACATAGCTGCGTGAGTCCAATATAGCTGTATGAATCCAACATAGCTGCATGAGTCCAACATAGCTGCATGAGTCCAACATAGCTGTATGAGTCCAACATAGCTGCATGAGTCCAACATGTTGCATGAGTCCAACAGCTGCATGAGTCCAACATAGCTGCATGAGTCCAACATAGCTGCATGAGTCCAACATAGCTGCATGAGCCCAACATAGCTGCATGAGTCCAACATAGCTGCATGAGTCCAACATAGCTGTATGAGTCCAACATAGCTGCATGAGTCCAACATAGCTGCATGAGTCAACATAGCTGCATGAGTCCAACATAGCTGCATGAGTCCAACATAGCTGCATGAGTCCAACATAGCTGCATGAGTCCAACATAGCTGCATGAGTTCAACATAGCTGCATGAGTCCAACATAGCTGCATGAGTCCAACATAGCTGCATGAGTCCAGCATAGCTGCATGAGTCCAACATAGCTGCATGAGTCCAACATAGCTGCATGAGTCCAACATAGCTGTATGAGTCCAGCATAGCTGCATGAGTCCATCATAGCTGCATGAGTCCAACATAGCTACATGAGTCCAGCAAGCTGCAGGCCATAGCTGCATGAGTCCAACATAGCTACATGAGTCCATAGCTCATGCCACATAGCTACATGAGTCCAAAATAGCTGCATGAGTCCAACATAGTTACATGAGTCCAACATAGCTGCATGAGTCCAACATAGTTACATGAGTCCAACATAGCTACATGAGTCCAACATAGCTACATGAGTCCATCATAGCTGCATGAGTCCAACATAGTTACATGAGTCCAACATAGCTACATGAGTCCAACATAGCTACATGAGTCCAACATAGCTGCATGAGTCCAACTTAGTTACATGAGTCCAACATAGCTGCATGAGTCCAACATAGCTACATGAGTCCAACATAGCTACATGAGTCCAACATAGCTACATGAGTCCAAAATAGCTGCATGAGTCCAACATAGTTACATGAGTCCAACATAGCTGCATGAGTCCAACATAGTTACATGAGTCCAACATAGTTACATGAGTCCAACATAGCTACATGAGTCCAACATAGCTACATGAGTCCATCATAGCTGCATGAGTCCAACATAGTTACATGAGTCCAACATAGCTACATGAGTCCAACATAGCTGCATGAGTCCAACTTAGTTACATGACTCCAACATAGCTACATGACTCCAACATAGCTACATGACTCCAACATAGCTACATGACTCCAACATAGCTACATGCTGTATATATTCTCTTCAAGGGGTCGTCCCTTAGATGAGAATAACCAAAATGTTCTTTAACAGGTGTCAGAACAGTTGTCATGGGTCCAGGAACTAGCGTCCAGCAATCCATGCCATACTTTATATTAAGCGTTGATATATACTGAGACTCCAGCATCTTCAGATAAGTTACTGTGACGTTAAAATGTAAACGTCGGGAGATTACTGCTATGTCGCCTCATTGGTATAAGGTCTTCAGAAACAATGGTATTCTGTGGAAGGCGCGAGAAGACCGGAGAGAGAGTACACTCTCGGGGTCAGAAGCTAGTGGAAGTAAGTCACTTTATCTGACTTTTTTAGGGAGTTATTCACGAATTATCAACCATATGCTATGTATGATAATTTATGTAGCTGTACTTATGTGTTCCTGTACCTGAATAAATTTACTCAAGAAGAAAGAGCTGGGGGTGAGCATTGTGCCGAACATATCGCTCAGGGCACGTATCTGTTGAAATCACCTCTGTAGGCAACACTCGTCTGACAGTCTAAGAGTCGCTGTCAGTCATCAGAAAAGTCATTTCCAGCACTTTATAAAACA